CGATTGCCCAGACGCTATCATCTTTATGAATCTTTGCGTGCACGTGTGTGTGTGTGTGTGTGTGTCCAAGGATTGAACTTGGGACCTTGTACTTTTGAGGCAGGCGGCAGAACCCCTGAGCTAAATCCCCAGCCCTTATTTTTACTTCTGAGACAAAGTTTTGCTAAATCGAAAGGTTGCCCAGACTGGGCTCAAATTTGTGATCCTCCTGCCTCAGCTTCCCAGAGTATTGGGATTACAGACGTGAACTACCACTCCTGGATTGGAACATTATTTTTGTTTCTTTTAACTTAATTCATTTCTGATCCCTTCCTACAGTGCTGTGGATCAGGGCCTAATCGAATGCTAAGTACTTCCTTTTCTTCGGAAAGGTCCTTATCCTCTCTGGAGTTTACCTCCTTTTCTTATCCCAGCCTGGTAGACTATGGGGAAAAATCATCACAGAGATTTCCTGGGAACTGGAATTTTAAAATGAGTGCATGTGGGAAAGTTGTCTGCAAGTATGGAGGGGGCTCTGTGTTTGCCTCTCCTTATTTATTAAGCTCCTTAGGGAAAAAGAAACCTTAAAAGCAGCTCAACCAGACTAAATGGTACAGAACAGAGTTTTGTTTCACAGGCTGTGGCTTGACATAGGTTAGACAGAAGTTGGCTGGAGGACTTTGGGAGGAATGTGGATTTGCATCGCAAAGGTATTTGTTGGGTAGGAACTGACCCAGGATTTGACCCATGGACCTCTCCCAGCTAAAGTTTTGACCAGGCTGGTCCAGGGCTGGGAGTGTGGGTGGGAAAACATTGCAGACGCACTCTGCTGGCTAGAGGTCAGGGCAGAGGGGAGAAAACCCAGAAAAAGGGCTGTGTGAAATGTGAATCCGAGTCACCACGGGAGAGGAAGAAAATAGCATGTATCATCCTGAAAAAAGCTCTTCCAGGGTGTTTCTTTTGGCTGCCTCTCCTCTGGAGAGTCTCCCTTGGCTCTCGCTGCTACATTTTCAGACTTAAAAGGAAGCTACCTTCAAGTAAATTCCCTCCTCTCAAGAAAGAAAATAAAGGAAACAGAGTGTCCTGGTTTCAGAAGAACATGGGTCAGACTTGGAATGAATTCCCAGCCAGGAGCTGGGAATGTCTGCAGTCACCTCTGTGTTTTAGTCCTCTGGCGCCCTCTTGGGTATGAGAGTGGAACTGTGTTCTCTAAAGTTGGTAAATGAACCCTTGATTGTGTGGCTCTGTAATCCCAGCCCTGATAAACTGAGGCAGGAGGGTCCCTGAGAGTTCAAGGCCAGATTGGACTGCATAGTGAATTCAAGGGCAACTTGAACTATAGAAAGCCTGTCTAAAAAACACCCCCCATAAATAAATAAATAAATAAATAAATAAATAAATAAATAAATAAATAAATAAATACAGTAAAGTGGCCTAAATTTCCACCACTACCATTCCTTGACCTCCCCCAGGATTCTCCTCCGGTGGGAAGGCTTCTGGACCAACTTCTTGCTATTTTTATGCTTTTTCCGTCTGGCCAGCCCCTACAGACCCTTCTCAATATATTGGTTTTTTTTTTCTAAACAAATTATATTTCTGCTTGCATTTCTGGTCACTAAGTCCCGCCTCGGGGGCGGGGAGCTGTGTAAACAATCAGCATGAACATGCATTGCTGAAATTCGTTAATTTTTAGTTTTATGGGAATATAAAATACATTCATATTCCACAGAACTTTGCCTGTCGTAAGTGAAAGATTTTGAGTAATTTATAGCACTGCACAATCATTGCCACGTTAAAAGTTTTAGAATAGACAGCTTTCTCCCGAGTATCTGCAGTCAATCTTGATTTCGAGTTGTAGTCTCAGCAATTACTGGTCTGCTTTCCATCTGTACTGATTTGCTTTTCTGGTTTTCATACAAATGATATCATAATATGTTGCCTGTAGTGACTAATTTCATTTAGTCTGTAGTCTTCAAGGTTCAACTATGTTATTTATATTATGTATCAGTGCTTCATTCCTTTTGAGGGCCAGATGACAACAGCCACACTTTATTTTTCCAGTCATTAATTGGATGTTTCCAGCTTTTGACTATTGTGAATAATGCTGCTATGAACATTTGTATACAGCGTGAAGAATGTAAGTTTGGCTTTTCTTCGTCTATCAAAATCAAATTGTTGAAAAGATTGTCCTTTCTATACAGAAGTGTCTTGGCTACTGCATAAAAGTTCAACTGGCCATACAGTAAGAATTTATTTCTGTACTCCCAATTCTGTTTGATGTGTAAGTCTGTGTGGGAAGCCAGCCATAGCCCACTGGCTTTTTGAAAGACAACATTTGTTCCTTTTTAAGGACTGCACATGTTAAACTTGTTTTACCCTGCACGGGAGAAACCCAGACAGCCAAAGATCTGTAGGAGTCAGGTGTTGTTAACTCCATTTTGTTATGTTAAAGATCTGATGTTATCTATAGGAGCAGGTATTGAGGTTACTATGGTAATCCTAGCCCATAATAGTTCGGTCTTTTCCTTTAAAAGGCTGATGCCTGCCTGCAATAAACGTCGCCTTGATCAGACTCTTGTCTTGGCGTCCTTCCTTTCTCTCTGCCCCATCTCCACCCCGCTGCTCTTTCAGGTTTGAGGCACTGCGGGACAGTGCTCTGCGTCGTCGTCGCCAGTTCGCGACAAGTCTGGCTTCAAGCCAATACTACACTCTCCTGATTACTGCAAGTTTATAGAAATTCTTGTCGAGTTACCACATCTTTGAAAAATCACACTGCCATGATTTCTTTTACCAATTTTTCATTCAGCAAGCATTCATCCAGCGATGTCCAAGCTACTGTATGCCCTTCTCTGGACCATGTGCTTCAATGATGTACTGTGCAGTAAGGTGATTCAGTGGGTTTTTCATTTCTACTTTGGAAAGTGGTAACAAGAAAGCTTGGGTTTTTATAAAGCTCATCATGTCCATGTTTAAAATGTTCAATTCCCTTTCCTTTAAAATCTGGCTGGTCTCAAAATGATGCCTCAATTTAAGAGGCACCATAACAGTACAGTATTTGAAAAAAATTCTGTTGCATAAGATACAAGGCAATTTATCAACACCTCCAAAGCCAGGATAGAACACAGCCTTTGTCATACTTCCCTTAGTCACAGTTTTGCCAGGTCTTCCCCTTCCTGAGTCAGATAATTCTCTGATCCTGATGTTATTAGCATCATTTTTTTTTCTAGTTTCTTTAGATGTGGGAAAACTAGAAAGCAAGTCTTTGAATTTCCCCTAAAAAGTTATAAACAAAAATTAAAAAATGGAAATAAAGTGTTTGTAAATGGGAAGGGGAGGAGGGGGTGAAGGGAGGGCAGGGACAAGGGGCAAAAATGAGAACCAAGTCCTGTCATGTAAAGGTACAAGATCCCAATGATGAATGTAACTGTACTGCAGACCTAAAATGTACCAATAAACTGAGGAAAAAAAGTTATAGACAAACACTTATTTGGGGATAAATATTAAATTCTAAAAGAGTGTCAGTTGCAGATAAGAGTTTAGTATTTCAAAAAGTTTTTAATAAATTAAAAAGTATTCTTGGGCCGGGATATAGCTCTGTGGTATAGTACTTTCTCAGCAAGCTTAAAGGCCTGGGTTCAATCCCCAGTATGATATATAAGTAAATTATAGAAGCACAAATAACACTCAAGACGCTTTCGCCAGCTCAGAGAGCAATCATATTGAAATGGCAGTCGAAGGGCAGGCTCAGCAGGGAAGAGAGCCGCACTCAGAGAACTGAAGGGCAAGGCAGGTTTATTATCGCTGGCAGGTCAAGTCGAGGTCCCCTTCTACAGTTTCAACCCCATTTCTAAGTTTCTCATATTTATGTGGTCTTTAGCCGGGGTGGGGAGCAAACAGAATGTTAAAGAAGAACTTAGCAAACCTTTCTAACTTTCTTACAGTTTATCTTTAAGACACAGGCAGACAGGGCGGTCCAGGCAGGTGATTTCAGCAGTTCGTCTTTCCGGCACGGCACCGTGACCTTCCTGGGTTTCCGAGGACAGGCAAACCATGAGACTGTCAGTCTCTGCTTTGTCTTTTGTTCCTTTCCATTTCAATATCTCATCGAACTTCTTGAAAACTCCTAAATGACTTTCTACACTCAAGAGAACGAGAGTAAAAATGGAAAATAATTTCTTTTTCCAGTGCCAGGGATTGAATCAGGGCCTTTACACGGGGTTGTATCCTTAGCTCCTCCCACCCCCATTTTAAATTTTGAGGCAGGGTCTTGCTAAATCGCCAAGTTGTCCACCCTGGTCTGAAACTTTCGATCCTCCGGCCTCGGACACCCACAGTGCTGGGATTGCAGTCGCGTGAGCGGCACCTAACACCGATGTACGAGGCTTCAGTTCTGTCGTCGGGGCCCTGGAAGGGACTCAGGGACTCTCCGAAGTCGCCGACCCACATTTTAAGAACCAAGGCAGCGGGTTCTGTTGTGCGGAGGGGCGGTCAGAGCTACGGCTAGAGCTAAGTATTTGCGTAGTGGCCACTGCGGTCGGCTGTCGCTGGGAAAGGCGTGGAGCGCGGCGGCGGGGGACGGGCGGCAGGTGTCTGTGGGACCGGGAAGAGGCGGGGAGGCCTAGCGAGCGTCCTCCACAGGCGGGGCCGGGAGAAAGAGGCCCAGGGGCT